GGAAACTATTAAAACTAAAGGTACAGTGCTCCAAATGAGATTCGAGCTCTCTAGTCCATCGGAAAGTTGACGAATTTTTTATCGCATGTTTCTATCCTCACAGTTACAGAAACAAGTTAACTAAAAGAAAGCAATTAATTGATGCCGTAGAAACACTTCATTTGAAATTTGGATACATAAATTGTTTAATTTAAAAACTAGAGATAATTAAAACTATTCCGAAAATCGTATATCCATATAAAATCATTTATTTTGCGATTTTCGTCTATGAGATAATGTATTATTATTTTTTCATATTATTATGTTTTCGGCTATTTGATTGAAATGCGAAATAAAAATTCGTAATTGTAAAAATAATAAGTATCATTAATTTCAAACATTGTTGTGGAACATTACTGAGATTTTGAATTGGCGACTTTAACTGGAACATTCCAAATAGCAAATAAGGGGGAGTAAACTATAAGATATTATAACAATCCTTGAAAGCTTCAGATGAATTGAAATTCATTTATTTATTTTAAATAGATGAGAAGTATTCTCTTTCGTACTGGTGAATTTTCAATGAATTATAGTTTGAAATTCTAAACTCCGTATTTATTAGGATTTTTTTAATCAGTTTGCTAAAACGACATTTTAGTTTTATTTTTAAAAAATTGACAAGATTGTAAGTAATGGTTGGGATTTATCAAGTGTTTAAATTTGTTTCATTGCGAAATTATTTAGTTGTTACTGGAAGGATTCATTTTCTTTTTTTACATAAATTCATTAAAAAATTGTGCTAATTGGCGACGAAGAATAATTAAATACTATCAATTAGTTACACCAGTACAAATATTGAAGATGCAGCTAGTGCTATTATTAAATACACATAAAATATAATATACATTTTAGGATTTTAATAGTTTAAAAATCAGGATTTTAATAGTTTAAAAATCAGTCTAACTTCCCAGCTTTAAGTTATTTTGGCAAAGTTTAATAGTTTTTAAAATAGCTCATTTCATCTTCCAAAAATAAAAAAATAACTATTTATTAAGGAGCTAATTAAGGAAAGTTATTAAGCTTTATTAAAATTGATATTTAAAGGTTTGTAAATTTGTTAATATTAATCACTATTTTACATGCATTACTAGCGAAATATTCAGATGCTTAGTATTTATTTGCTTTTTAAGTGGAGTTTTAAAACAATATACCAGCATATTTAAAATATTAAGTTAATAATTTTTTGTTATATTATTATATTTATGGAACTAGAATAGTTTTTTTTAAAAAATTGTTTATTAATATCATAATATTAATAGCATAAACCAAAAATGCTTGGCATTACTCCTACCCTGAACCGTAATAAACTAAAATTCAACTTCGTTAGTTAAGTTACATTCTTTATAGCAGAGAAAGTAATAAAATATTGACAAACAGTTCTGACATTATAGAATAGAGATTCCTCAAGTAACAAACAATTTCTTCATAATTTTTAATGATATTTCCAAACAATGCAATTTATAATATCATTTGGATATTTTACAGATATTTGGTGTTTTATTAAACACCTATAAATTTTAATACATTGATTTGTCGATCATTACCATTATTATATTTTAAACGTTTCAAAATATTTGACAATATATAGGGTGTTTTGCGAAGATTGCCCTTAATATGCATTTTTAGAATCCTTATCAAAAACTGAAAAAAAAAACTCTACATGATGGCAAATTAATGTATAAGTGATTAAATTTAACGAAATCTGACTATCACAGAAAAGGAAAGCGTATGTAATAAATTATACGGCAGATTTGATTGCGGAAAGAAACAGAGAAATGGAAGGTTCAAGTTTCAATATACAATTAAACCTCTTTTGATGTTTGTTACATTTACCTTCCTCTGTAATTTTTCAAATTTTGTAGGTGTTTCTGTCTTTTACTTGTGTTCATATTGATTTCTATTTTCTTTTTTAAAAAGGATGAAAAAATGTATTAAGAGCGGTTTTTACTGAACACCAAGACCCAGGTTTTGAAAGCTTTATCTCAAAAACAATGATTATTGCATTTGCCATTTTGAATAAATTTTGCATTTTGCCATTTAAAATTACTTTTAAAATGATGTAAAAATTAGCATACCTTACAATTTAAAGTTGTTCTTCGCTATTAGTAAGTAATGGGATATCTGGAATTTTAGTTTTTTGTCATAAAAAAATTTCGATTGACTTAAAAAGCTTTTTATTTTGTCATTTAAAATTTTGTGTTTTGTCATTTAGAATAGCATACTTTAATTTTTGAAAATTTAAAAATTTAGTTCTAAAATTTGATATACATTACATTTTAAAATTTTTCGACTTTTGAAATAAAAAAAATAAAAATAAATCATTTATAATTATTCTTTTGCATGTCTTTCGAAAAACGAGTTTAACGAGAACAACATTTTTTCGTTTCGCTTAAAACATTTTCTTCATATAGCGAAATATTCAAAATGTCAAATTAGCATTTTCAGATTCAAAAATGAGTTCGCTCTTCTGTTTAAACTCTTGGTTATTGGATATGTTTATTCAAAGAAATATCTTTGGTTTGTTCTGATTTCATAAATATTAATTATGTATAAAATAATTAATATTTATGAAATCAGATAAAATATCGTCTGCACTAATTAATTAGCGTATTTAGGATTATGCCTTAGAACTATAATGATTGAGATCTAGTAAGTGAAAATCCAAGCATTTAGATCGAAAGTTATTCAATGTGTTTATTTATTCATTTTGGACATTGGGCTTTCTTTCATCGCATTCGACAATTTTTGTTTTATGAAGTTATTTAATCGAAGTGTGCAGGGAACTACTAGAACATAATTATTTGAAGTTTTTAATTACTTTAACGAAAAAAATTATATTGTTTTGGGGGGGGGGGAAATTAGACATTAAAAAGATTCCTAAGCTTTGGTTAACTATTTGTAAGGAGCACATCCTCCCCCTCTACCAACGTTGATTCTATGATATTATAGCGACAACTTAGTTTTGGTCGTTGCAAAAATTCGCATCTAGAAAACGTTAAATGAAGAAAATGCTTATGTTTGAAAAATTTTACTATCAGGGGTCTGTCCAGACGTTTTGTGAAAGGCCCGTTTTCGTGAAATTGTGAAAAAAATAACTCGTAATTTGTGAATATAAAATAAACGTAAAGTCACATTCTTTCTACCAGGGTCCGCTTTTGTGAATTTGTGTAAATAGGGTCCGTTACTGCAAAAAAACTTTTTCAATGAGTTTTTAAATTGCAAAGACATACAAGATTATGCTCAACACTGTAAAATCATAATTAAAAAAATTAAATTTTAAAAAATAAACAGCAATTGCAGCTACTAAATTAGCGATGCAACATACAAATATTTGGTATTTAGCCTATACAGCTGAACGCAGAATATTCATTTCGGACGAATAAAGGAAGAAGCGTTTGCCGAGGACAAAATTTAGTTCGTTTACATTTGTCTTTCTCCCCCCCCCCNTGTGGTGGCTCAGGGGATAGAGGGTTCGATTTCCAATGAGGTAGCCCGGGTTGAACTCCAGCAATGGCATGAATTCTGCACCTGGCTTGTACTGACCACAGTGCTGGCGTATAAATATCCTCAGTGGTAGACGAATTATGGGTTAGAGTCCCTTTGCCGTCAGGCTAATTGTGGGAGGTTCTCGTGGTCTCTCCATGTAAAGCAAATGCGGGTCAGTTCCATCAAAACGTCCTCCACGAAGGCAAATTTCTCCCTTCACTTGATCCAGAAGTTCCCTTGTCTTCTGGTTTGGGTTCAAAATTGCAAGGCTACGGAGTTAAAATTTCGAAATCGTAAACCAAAAAATTGGGTCGACTGTTCAACGACGGTTATAAAATACACAATAAGCGATCTGTGGATGCTCAGGGGATAGAGCGTTCTCCTACTAATGAGGCGAACCGGGTTCTAATCCCAGCGATGACTGGTCGATACGAATCCGCATCCGGCTTGCACCGACCACAGTGCTGACGTGAAATATCCTCAGTGGTCGACGGATCATGGGTTAGAGTCCCATTGCCGTCTGGCTTACCCTGGGAAGTTCTCGTGGTTTTCCTCTCCATGTAACGCAAATGCGGATTATCTCCTTAAATTTTTCCCAATACTCTATCCAGGAGTTCCCTTGTCTTCCTATTAGGTTCAAAATGACAAGGCTAAGGAGTTGAACATTAGTAATCGTAAACCCATAAAATTGGATCGGTTCAACGACGGTTATAAAATAAAATAAAAATAATGCATATCATGTTAAAATACCGGTCTTGTTAAAATGTGGCCATTTTGCTATTACTTTACTTAAACGATGTAAAAAATATAATACAGTACTACAGTAAAAAGAAACTGTAAAACTTTATAATAAAGAACTAGTTATTAACTACACGTGACGAAGAGAACATTAGCATGACTTTTTTTATTTGTAAATAATAAAGGTATTTGTGTAATTAAGTTGTTTTAGAAAGTAGCGAGTGAAATAAGAAATATTTTCAACCCAAATTGCACTCAATTTATTAAAACATTGGTTTAAAGTAATATTTTTAATGCATAAAAAACACCAGTTTATTTCTAGTGATAGTTATTGGTAATTTGGGAAAGAACAATTAAACAAGTTGAGAATTTATTGAATAATCAAAATCACATTATTGTCTTTTTTTTTTTTCCTTAAGTATGAGTTTGAAAAGAAATTGTAATACAATTTATTATAGGCTGTGAAAAAGCCGAAAGGAAAATTTAAAAGTATTTTTTTCAGAACATACAATTTTTCTCGTTTAATGTTGGATTATACGAGATTCGTTAAAATTCAAAATTGGCATTTTAAAACTATCGTTCCTTTAAACTCCGATTGAGAAGAAGGGGATACGCAGGAATGGGGGGAAAGCAGCCTCTATCTCTTATTGGCGACTGATTTGTTGCGTCAGAACTTCAAAGCAAATCTTTCTTTCTTTTTTGATGTTCAGTATTCTAAAATACAATTTTTATTTCAGTTTTACCAGTTCTGTTAGCGTCTTTTTAAAGGAAAACTTTGGCGTTGTGTTTAATTCGAATGTAAGTAATCTTTAATTTTTAATGTTTTTTATTGACTATTTTTTAATTAATGTTTTTTTAACTATAATTTAGATAATGTTCTGATTTTATATTTGCAGTAGATTTAGACTTTTTTAAAAGCTATTTTTATCATAGAACTTTTTAAAGCCTTGAGCTTATTTTAATGTATGGAAACAAATTTTGACTTTTTTGTGACTACATCACCTTAGAATGCTTTTTTTTAAAGTGATATTTGAAATGTTTGGAACCATTTAAGATACTTAACGCAATTTTTGAAATATTTTACTTCATTTACTTAATTTGAAATCACGGATGTTTTTTTGTTTTTTTTTAATGAAACAAGAGTTCTATAGATCTAGAGTAACTAGGAGTCACTCCTAGTTACGCTAGTGATATTTTTTATTAGTTTATTTCCACACTTTTATTTATTTTTTTGCTTCAGACATAGTTTAAGTCAGGATTACTGGAAGTGGTTTTGATATCTGAAGTACGCAGTATCGTTTGGGTTTCGCGCAATGTCCCTACTTCAGTGTACCAGGTTATTTTAAACTTTGCATATAATCTTACTAAATTAAGGATTTAAGAAGTTTGGCAACTTTAATATTATTTTTTGTAATCTTTGGCCATATTTTTAAATACTTAGTGAATGAAAAATAATTTGAACAAATTAAATTCGTTTATCTATACTTCAAATTTCGCAAATCATTATTAATGTTGCTAAACACACACAAATTCTATTTTTTTTTTCAAGTTTTTCATCCATTAATTTCTTCTTGCATTCTATATACAATAATTTTTTTTCCTTTTTTTTTAAATGGTATGATAATTAACCAGAGATTTCGCTTATAGGCTATAATTACACCAAGAATAGTTGACGGATCTAAAAAATAGTGAAAAAACCTGTGAAAGCTTGTGATTGAAAATATCTTATGAGATGTTATATTTTCCAATTCACGCATTGAAAAAAAATTTCGAACTTACGCATTTTCTAATTGAAACATTTCTTGCTTTAATTCACGCATTGAAAAAAAAATTGCACGATTAGCATGCAGTGCGACCAGAGCCATGTGTCTCATTTATTTTTTCAGCTAAATGTATGTAAATATTAAAATATAAATTATTATTCAGTTTACTATTTTTTTTTTACTAGCCGCAGAGTTAGGAATATGAGCAAGTTATTCTCTCTTAATGCAGGTGTTTGATTAATTGTTTTGATTGTGTCAAAAGGGTTATTTCTTGGTTGAATGTTTATCAATAGTTTTAAATGCGCATTCTAATAAGTTGATAAAAGTAGCGAATTTATCGTCTGCTCCTGTGATTAAAAAATGGCGTTCCTCGAAATCCTCTGGAAGAGTTAAAAGGGTTTTAATATTCACTTCAAGGAAAACCCTAATGTTTCTTATTTCATGGTTTTTCAGTTCATGTATATACACCAAAAAATAATTACTAGATTATGAATGCGCTTTTAACTGTCGGATATAAAACCTAATTTAAAATTAGTAATGAAAAATTATAATAAAATTTAATGAATGATATTTTATTAAAATAAATAAGTTTTTAATTGGATGTAAAGTGTGGGTTCCATAGATTGAAAAAAATTGGAAACCACTGGCATGTTAATTATCACGTGATTCTTTTCTTATCTTTTTCTTCCTGGAGACTTATTTTTTCTGTTATGTTAAATTTTTTGAAACATCTTCTGAAGTAGAAATTTATTTCAAATCGAATTTCTCTTTTTATCTGTTTTAATTTTTCAAACCTCTTTCAGTTTGTCCAGTGTGTATTTGTTTAAAAAGTTCTATTTTTGATTTTATTTTGAAAAGCTGAAAATTGAGATAAAGAACATTTTCATTTTTTTCAATGTTAAAGAATATTTCAATTCTTAAACTGTTCTGAACTCTTTTCCATTTTACTTTTGTTTTTGGAATCGATCCAGAGTTTTATACTACTGGTATTAGAACAGAAAAAAATATAAAAGAGGGGAAAAAATGAAAGGAGTGGAGGGGGGCATTTTTAAAACATTGATGACACCCGTTTATTCAAGTTGTTAATAATGTCAGTAAAATAAAGTAATAAAAGTAATTATCTTTTTCCACTGATTGATCTAATAAAACAAGTTTATCAAGAATATAATATCTAAAACAGTTCCTACAATTAAATTTTTAACAGGGGGCATAGTATTTTTAAAAAGTGATTGAAGGTGCTTATTTTTGATTTACGTTTTTTAAAAGCCGGTGCTTTTTTTGTTCGGGGTTTTTAAAAAGTGCTTGATTTTCTATAGTTTATAAAACAAATTTTTTCTTAGCCGTAGCGATTGTCGTTCTGAATTTTAAGAAAATGCCTGATTTCCACAATTTTCTCAGCAATATTTATCGGAAACCAGCTATTTTCATCATGATTATGTACTGTTTTTGAAATTTTTCTTGAATTTTATTGTTTTTGTGTTTATAAATTAAGAACTGTAAATAATAGAAAAAGAAACACCCACCGCACACTGACCGCAGCTAGTGATGTTTTATTTTTTTTTTTATAACCGTCGTTGAACAGCCGACCCAATTTTTTGGGTTTACGGCTATTAATGTTCAACTCCGTAGCCTTGTATTTTTGAATCCAATTCAGAAGACAAGGGAACTTCTGGATCAAGTATTGGGAAAAATTTTGCCATCGTGGAGGTCTTTTTGATGGGACTAACCGGCCTTTGCGTTACATGGAGAGGAAGACCACGAGAACTCTCACGGTTAGCCACACGGCAAGGGGACTCAAACCCATGATCCGTCTACCACTGAGGATATTTCACGTCAGCTCTGTGGTCGGTGCAAGCAGGATGCGGAATTCGTATCGACCAGCCATCGCCGGGATCGAATCCCGGTTCACCTCATTGGAAGGCGAACACTCTCTCCCCTGTGCCATCGCGGCTCAGCCAGTGATGTTTTTTTTTATTTTATAACCGTCGTTGAACAGCCGACCCAACTTCATGGGTTTACGACTACTAACGTTCAACTCCGTAGCCTTGTAATTTTGAACTAATCCAGAAGACAAGGAAACTCCTGGATCATTACCCACAGAGGTATTGATTTGTTGTGGGAACATGGAGGACTTTGAGACTCGACAGATTTAACGTGCATCAGTCACCATTTACTACACGGGGAGTCTTCGGTTAGCGAGGATCGAACCCACGACCTCTTGGATATGGGCCCAGTGCCCTACCGACCAGGCTATCCCGGCCCTAGCCAGTGATGTTTGACTTCAATGATGTGCTGGGAACCGTGTCTTAACGATCAGTCCACTGAGGGACTTAAATTTCGATGAGCTACGTTCATAATTTCGCCAAATTCAATATTTCGTTTTAGCTCAGATTACAGGTCACGCGATTTTTCCAGATGATAAGCGATTAATAATGGTTGGAGTTGAAGCTTTTTTTCCCCTTCATACTAGCCGTGCATTTTTTCCATTATATCTGTGTTTTCACGAGTCTATAATTTGAAGCATAGATATGGAGAGATTCTGAACTCTGCGCGACAAAACAAAACCAGAATCCAAAACTAAAGCTGATGCGCTTTCAGAAATAAAAGAAATTTTTTTTTTAAAAAGATAAAGAAACTGCAGACTTTACAGAATCTCTCATTTTAGAACAGGATAGAAAATTTTATTTTTTTATAAAAGTATTTCTCTGATATAAGTAGCAAGAAATTCTCTAAGTAGCGCATTTTTAAGGTTTGTAGCTTTTGAAAAATAATGAGTAGCCCAAATTCGAATTTGTGTAGCGGGGAGTTTTAAAAGTAGCCCAATCTGGCAACACTGATTCCATCTACATGGTGTACAAGTAGAGTAGTCTTTTTCTACAACTGAAGAAATTAGTTAATGTTTTGTGGTATTTTAAAATCATTAATATATGTATGTTTAAGAGTATTCGATGATCCATTGTTTAAACAAATGACTTCATTCATTAGTTTACATTATTTAAATAAAATTGGATTTTTGAAAAGCATCCTGATGTTTCGATACATGATGAAACTGATTTTCGTAAGCTGCCGTAAATTGCTCTCCAATTGCGATCAGCTGCATTTATCTCCAAATATAGCGAATATTATTATTTTTTTTATTTCCTTTATTTCCAACTTGTTTTACGATTCTCATCATCACTACATGCATATAGACGATATGGTAGTCATCTTTTAAACAGAGTTCGTAACGTAAGAAACTGAAATAGTGGAAGCAAACCTAATAAGATAAAATGTATTTCATTATACAGTCAAACCTCGATATCTCGAACGTGAAAGGAGAGGAGAAAAAATTCGAGATATCGAAAATTCGAATGATCGAAAATCGCATGTTATCGATGTTAGAATAAAGAAAAATGCTCTTTACATACCTTATTTACTATTCCATATTTATTCTAAGAACACTTTTTACACTTAAAAAGATTGAATTGTTTGCTTTAGAGATGTGTAAGAAAGTTTGTCTATAACACTTTGTCTATAAGTGGACTATAGCTTTAAATGTCTCCTCTGACATATTCGGCTGTCTCTCAATAAATCTCCTTATAGTGTCTACTGCAGAAAGTGCTTGTTTGAGAATTGGTTATGATTATGAGAATTAGTTTTCTATTCTTAAAAATTTTTTTGGAATATTTTTTTTTATTTTCAGAAAAAAATCCACACTATTTATGAAAAAAAAAAAAAATTCAAGTTATCGAGGGATTAGAAAAAAAAATTCGAGTAATCAAGGTTTTTTTAACATTGAGTGTATAGGAAATTTGAAGGGAATTTTTTTTTTGAGATATCGAAAAATTCGTGAAATCGAGGTTCGAGTTAGCGAGGTTCGACTGTATTTATATTTACCATAATACTCAATTTTAATAGCACCAACAGTCTGGTAAGAAAATGTTAAGTTGTCAACAAAAAATGCAAGATTAAGGTAAGAACCGCGATGGCTCAGAGGATCGAACGTTCGCATTCCAATGAGGTGAACCAGGCTCGAATCCCAGCGATGGCTGGTCGATACGAATAAGGAGCACTTTCTCCCCCTCTACCAACCTTGATTTTATGATATTACAGCGACAACTTAGTTTTGATCGTTGCAAAAATTCGCATTTGGAAAATGATAAATGAAGAAAATGCGTATGTTTGAAAAATTTCACTCCTTTTTAATCCCCTCCCCTCAATATATTGTGAAAAAAAAACCTGCAGAAAGAATCACTGTCAAAAAAAATTCTTGAACTAAAACGAAAACGCAAATTCGAGTTAAGTATTCGCAATCGCTTAACAAAATCAAAAAGCTTGCGGGTTTCGTCAATTTTTTCGTTAGTTTTGAATTTTCTTCATTTGAATTAATTAAAAATTATTTTTTTTATATAGCTGGTAGTTTGAACAGCTCAGATCAGAGTCGCGATGGTTCAGGGGATAGAGCGTTCTCCTCCCAATGAGGCGAACCGGGTTCTAATCCCAGCGATGACTGGTCGATACGAATCCGCATCCGGCTTGCACCGACCACAGTGCTGACGTGAAATATCCTCAGTGGTCGACGGATCATGGGTTAGAGTCCCATTGCCGTCTGGCTTACCCTGGGAAGTTCTCGTGGTTTTCCTCTCCATGTAACGCAAATGCGGATTATCTCCTTAAATTTTTCCCAATACTCTATCCAGGAGTTCCCTTGTCTTCCTATTAGGTTCAAAATGACAAGGCTAAGGAGTTGAACATTAGTAATCGTAAACCCATAAAATTGGATCGGTTCAACGACGGTTATAAAATAAAATAAAAATAATGCATATCATGTTAAAATACCGGTCTTGTTAAAATGTGGCCATTTTGCTATTACTTTACTTAAACGATGTAAAAAATATAATACAGTACTACAGTAAAAAGAAACTGTAAAACTTTATAATAAAGAACTAGTTATTAACTACACGTGACGAAGAGAACATTAGCATGACTTTTTTTATTTGTAAAAAACAAAGGTATTTGTGTAATTAAGTTGTTTTAGAAAGTAGCGAGTGAAATAAGAAATATTTTCGATTCAAATTGCACTCAATTTATTAAAACATTGGTTTAAAGTAATATTTTTTTTGTAGATTGTGAAAAAGCCGAACGGAAAATTTAAAAGAATTTTTTTCAGAATAAACAATTTTTCACGTTTAATGTTGGATTATACGAGATTCGTTAAAATTCAAAATTGGCACTTTAAAACTCGTTCCTTTAAACTCCGATTGAGAAGAAGGGGATACGCAGGAATGGGGGAAAGCAGTCTCTATTTCTTATTGGCGACTGATTTGTTGCGTTAGAACTTCAAAGCAAATCTTTCTTTTTTGATGTTCAGTATTCTAAAATACAATTTTCATTTCAGTTTTACCAGTTCTGTTAGCATCTTTTTAAAGGAAAACTTTGGCGTGGTGTTTAATTCGAATGTAAGTAATCTTTCATTTTTAATGTTTTTTATTAACTATTTTTTAATTAATGTTATTTTAACTATAATTTAGATAATGTTCTGATTTTATATTTGCAGTAGATTTAGCCTTTTTTTAAAAGCTATTTTTATCAGAAATTATTTTTATTATTTTTTTGTTCTTATTTTAATGTATGGAAACACATTTTGACTTTTTTGTGAATACATCACCTTAGAATGTTTTTTTTAAGTAATATTTGAAATGTTTGGAACCACTTAAGATACTTAACGCCATTTTTGAAATATTTTACTTCATTTGCTTAATTTGAATGTTTTTCTTTTGAATAAAACAAGAGTTCTAAAGTGACTAGGAGTGACTATTAGTCACTCCTAGTCACTCTAGTGATATTTTTTATTAGTTTATTTCCACGCTTTTTTATTTTTTTTATTTTTTTGCTTCAGACATAGTTTAAGTCAGGATTACTGGAGACATCTAAGTAAACAAATTTCATTAGTTAAAATTATTTCTTATTTGCGTAAGTATTATTTAAAGATTTGGCCAAACATGGTAAAAAATAACCTTAAAGGTAACAAACTTTTTAAATTCTAAATTTAGTATGATTATATAAGTTAAAAAATAACCTGGTACACTGAGTCATGAAT